TTAGTGTAGTATTCGATAGAGATCTAAGAGGAGAGAGAGGAAGGTAGGCTAGTTGGCCCAACGCTAAGCGCCAAGCCCTGCCTAAGGCATCAAGACCCTGGCTTTACTCGAGCCTAGTTACATACCAATCACGTGTAACCTCTTTAGTCCTAACAATCGTCTACGTAGAAGAAGATGAATACCTGTTTGTCTAGATCTATATACAGGCAGTCTACATTGTTAACGGGTTGTATTCCGAGCTTGTTCTCTAGTATTGTAGTAAAGTGGTTATACTATAGCCGAGGTGACTCCTGTAGACTATAGAGCGCTTAGAGTAGTTTCAATATTTTGCCCTTCTGCTTAAATCTATTAGGCGGCCTAAGGTAAAGCGTATATAGGAATATAGTATTAAGGAAGGCATTGACTGCATCCATTTGCTTAGCTTCTAGGTCAAACTTAGCTACGATAGCTATAAGAGCTCTGAATACTCGTACAGCTAGTGTTGAGGCATAGGTGTCTAAGTGTGTATTCTTCTAAAGGTCCCCTCTTGTATATACTCTTGCTTTGAACTTAATTAGTCGGCTATTAGCATTACCCTTGTATTTGAATACCTAAGTAAGAGGCAGAAGATCAGGCTTATCTAGTGTATTTAGATCTACCTATTTAAAGGTACGTGTCTTTAGTGCCTTGTTGAATTTAACTCTTGCAGTATGTATCTATTGTTCCTTAAACCGGCTCTTGAGTACCTATCGCTAGTTACGTGGCTCTGCTAGTAGGTCTAAGATCTTCGGTGTAAGGCTTAAATTATATTCGTCGCGTAGAAGTAGTAGCGGTTCTAGGGAATTAGGTGGATCGCTGCTAGCTTAATTATTATCGGCGCTGTTACTATATGTTGACCTAGCTTCGTACTCTGCTACTATATATAGGTTGCTAAATAGAAGGAGGTTTCTCGCTTAGTCTCGGTCGTTGATATAGTAACGGATCGCGGCTACTCGTTGTCGCTTATTTAGATTGTTAATACGATAGTATAGACCTCCTATATTTAGTAAGTAACGATAAGATACATTAGCTGCTTTAATTAGCATTAGCAATTTAGCAAGCTCTGTACGTAGCAAGTTGAAGTCTATATTATCTGTATAACCTAGTGCGTCTATATTGTTAGCAGGGGCTTTATTGCTAGTATTGTTCTTAGGTTGTTAAGGTTGCTAATTGATAGTTGGTTCTACCAACCTATCTAGCATATTATTACGCGGTTCTAGTGCTTCGCGTAGATCAATTGGAAAGTCTTATTCCTATAGTTAAGGCTCTGGAAATAGCCTTTTCAGCACCTATATAAGCTGCAGCTCGCTTAGTAGTACTTATAGTGATTGTTTAGGTGGTTCAACTGGCTTATCTGCTAGCCTTACAGAGTTAACTATTATAAGTCGACTAGGTCCTATTAGTATATCCACCCCCTTAATTCTAAACCTAACAAGGTCTTAAGGTGTATCGTATACTTCTCGAAGCTCGTTAAATTGATGCTCCGAGGCGGGTGCTTGTAGCTCTTCGAGATTACTATACTCTTCTGAAAGCTCTTAGTTAGTTATAACAACACCTAGGTTATTATTGTAGCTATTGTAGAACTTGGTTTTATCAAATACAACGTCCCTTGTACGTAGCACTGTTATTCGTAAGGGTACCTATATCCTATAGATAGAGTGTCCTTTATATCTATATAGGTATCCAATATAGGTGCGTAAGGCCACTTTCATAGTATTTGGCAGTATAGCCTTCCTTTTGCTATTAGTTGTCTCTGTTCCGTAGATTACTAGATATGCTCTCGCTCCAAACTGGTAGATATAAGCTACATTTGGTTTATAGCTAGTACCTATCTTATATAGAGTTCGTATTAGTAGGTCGGCAGTGCGTAATCTTAGTAACCTGTTAGCTAGGAAGGTTGCTGTATAGACTGCTTCTAGCTATAGGTTGTGTGGAAATCCGGCGTGTATTATTAAGGCTCGAGCTACCTTAATAATAGTACGGCCTGCTCGCTCTACTAGGTCCTGCTCTAATGTGTATAGGGCTGTTAGCCTCTAAGTGGTATAGTTATTGCGTAGATAGGATCGAAACCGAAATCCTGATATACCCCTTTTATTATTAGATAACAAACAAATGATGTCTCTGCTAATGCTACGTACGAAGGTAGCTAACTAGTTCTAGCACTAAAGGAGAGTTGATTCCTAGCGATTACCGATTGTCTATATAAAGTGAAGTCTAGTATTCAGATCGTATATATAGAACATATACTAATTACTATTATAGGCTAGATCCAGCTACATCAGGTCGGCTGCAAGGTGTCTATATAGAGTCAGTATCGATACATTATAGTGCCTTAGCCTCCTAGAGATAAGCCTCTTTCCCTTTGCTTATGTATACGTAGGACAAAGTAGTGTTCTTAGTACCTTATTGTTATGTGTGTAATCTCTTATTATCCTATCAATCCTATTAACTAGCTCTTCTGCTCTTTTAGCACCTAGGTGCCTAAACACCTTATGTATTTGCTTTAGTGTAAGCTTCCTTAGCGGTAGTGGGCGTACGGAGCGACGGGCTATTGCGTAGGATGACTAAGACAGTTAGAAGGGGTATAAATGTAGCTTACCTTCATCCCCTATTAGCTATTCAAGCGGAGGCTTACTATCTACTTTACAGGTAATATCGAAATAGGGCATATAGTTGTCCGGTCTAATAAGAGGGATTAGTGGTTTCCCTTATAGGTTATAGAGAACATTATTAAGCTTATTATACTTGAACCTACGGTAATAGAAGATTGCCCCTCTAACAATATTAGTATAGAAATTAGGGACATAGAGGCACTCTTTCAGCTTAATAGTTAGGGGTTTACCTACTACTAACTTGACTGTAAAAGATGCCCTTCCGATAGCGATAACTTTGTTGTATCTAGTTCCTATTACTATAGTAGCTCGCGGTGGAATAAATATTGCCTGAAAGTTGAAGCGACTAGGGTAGTTAACAATATTGTAGTTAGATCCACTATCGTATATTAGGGCAATAAAGGGGTTCTATTTCTTACTCCTGTTTGTAGCTATTAATAGATGGTTAGTAGTTAGTGCTAGGGTAACTAATGCAAAGGCTAATAGGTCTAGAGTGTCTGCCTTAAAGAAGCAGGCTAGTAAGACTTTGTCTAATCTATTGCCTGTTCTAGCATCGTCTCTACTATCTTTAGCCGAAAGTCTATAGTATTGCTGTACAATCTTAATAGCTAGTAGGTCCTTGAAGAACTTAGCTTGTCTTAGGTAGAACCCTTTGTTCTTGCGTAGATAGGACTCGAAGTACTTCAGTTTTCCTTTCTACTTATTGTCCTTATCCTTCTCTTCAACCTGTTCTCGAAGGCGGTAGTTTACTACAGTGCATTTACCGCGGTTTTTATATGCCTTCTTCTCGCCTACTCTAGTAAGCTTAGTATATGTCTTTAGTATACGGTTGCTACTATTACTGCGGCCCTTGTTCTTATTAGGTTTGTCGTTATCGTCTGTAGCTTGTAGAGCGGCGTTAGTACTAGCTTTACCTTCTTCGTAGATGATGCTAAAAGATGAACCCTTCTTCGTAGAAGTACCTAGCATATTGCGGGCATATTCTCGTACTATGCTAATAAGTTAATAGAAGTTGTTAACCGATAGCCCTACCTAGTGCATTATATAGAGCCCTTTACTATAGGTCTTATCTACATTTGTAACTGCAGTATATAGGTAGGTTACTAAGTTATTAAATTCCGGATATTGTATACGTTTTATTGTCTTATAAAGATTAAGCTATTCCTTATACTAGTACTCGGGGTCCTTTACCTACTTAGAATTTACAAGGCGGTAAAGCTCCTTGCTAAGGGCAGTCCTTTACTATTAAGTATTAGGTGCAAGCTTGTTCTTTAATCGAGTTAGAATAAGCCGTATAGTTGGTGCTACGTTGTCTATATTAGGATTAGTAATCTCTAAATGATAGCGAATGTCTACAGTTATAGCTAGATATTCAATTGTCTTATTACGAGCTATCTTAAAGCGTTCAAACTCCGCCTTCCTTATATTAAAGTGTTCCTTAGTAAGCTTTGCCCTAGCCTAATATAGGGGGTTGCTTATAAGTTGTTCTATATCGAATTCCGGGAGAAGGGGTTGTACTAGTTTAGTTAGCTTAGTCGAATATAGGTTAGCTAGGACCTAGGTCTTATATCTAGTTAGGTATGTCTTAGTTTGCTTAAACTATCGATCCTAATTATTAGGTCTACGAAGGATAATAAGCTTGCTGCTACCGAGGCGACTAGCTAATAAGAGGGCTATTAAGGATATGCTAACGTTGCTTTAAAGCGGTTGTAGTTTGTAGTGCCGTTAAGACTGTCGATTCGATTATTAAAGGTCTCGTAGAATAGAGAAAATTCTTTCCTACTATAGAAGTCTCTAATACCGCGGATTAAATCCGGGCTTATAACTATTACGTATAGCGTAGTGGATTACTTACGTAATACTGTATTGCCGGCGGTTGAATTCGCTTCGTTAATTGCCTATGTTCTGCTCTATTCTATAGTCTAAAATACAATGAAAATTCTTCAAGCCAAGAAGTCACGTGCTTGTCATGTGACTGAGCTGACGCGTCACACCTCAACCCCCTTTTGACCTGCTCTCTGGTGCTCAACAGTATCATAGGCAACCGTCATCGCGCGTCATGGTGGATGAAAGATAGCGGCAGCGGTTTTGGAGTGCTACTAGTCGTGTAAGGTGTCGTTTCTACGCGGAAAGACGCGTGATGGCGTCGAAGCACGAGGCACCACCATGTGAGAGCTATGGACAAGACACAAGGCGCAAAAAACAGAGAATGAATGTTTCGGCTTCCGAGAGATTGGACCGCTCAATTACTAAGGCTCATGTCGGTTCGTGGGAATAGCCGCTATTGTTCTGTGTGCGTAACCATGGCTGACATCCGGAACAGCGTCTGTTTCAACACTGATCTCTATCTCTTCAGACTCCGAGGATGAGATGTGTGATCCGCAATTTTGTGTCTACAAGAATCAGCGGCAGCCATCTGGCGACAAGCCCGTCGACCTCATCGTTTGCGCAGGACGTCAATGTACCGTGTCAACCTACCACAAGACATGCGTGGGACGAGCGAATGCTGCGAAGTATCCAGACAACACTAATTGGCATTGTCGATCATGTCGCAGCGTGCCGGCGAGTATAGCTCCGAGCTCCCATCTCCAGAGTCAGCTCAGGCCTTCCACCCCCATCAAGGCTGCCCCTGTCTCTTACCTTGAGAACCCGCTCGCAACAGGCGTAAAAGCCGAAGTGGTAGTGCCTGTGGACCATGAGCCTCCACTCCATTCAGAGCAACGCGAAATTGTCGACGCTGTAATGAACGGCTACAATGTGTTCTATACCGGATCGGCAGGTACAGGCAAGAGTACTGTCCTCAAAGCGTATGTAAAGAAACTCAAGGAAATGGGAAAACATGTTGATATCATTGCACCTTCGGGTATTGCTGCTGTAAACGTTGGCGGAGGCACATTCTTTAGCTACATGGGTTGTAGGCCAGACGACTTCAGGCTTGATCTCGAAAAGTTCCGACGCAAAGCACACGGCAAGAAGGTTCAGGCACGCATCGGCGCCACAGATGTACTCATCATCGACGAGATCTCAATGGTAGAGGCTCAGCTCTTGACGCGGCTCGATATTGCTATGCGAGAGGCGAGAAGCTATTGGACAAAGCCACGTGATAAGGCTGTCCTTTCTCGCCGTGACGGCGGACTGCCCTTCGGCGGAGTGCAGATTGTGGTGACTGGAGACTTTTGTCAGCTTCCTCCAGTCAAGCCATTCGAATACTGTCTGTACTGCGATGGTGGCGAGATGGAGACATTGAACAATTCTGGAGGAGGGCCCAAGACATGCAAAAGATGTCATCGAGTGTACAAGGACGAAGACAAGTGGGCATTCAAGAGTCCAGCTTGGGCTGGCGCCGATTTCTTGTATTTCGAGCTCAAGGAAATCCATCGACAAAACGACTTGGCGTTCATTAAGCTCCTCCAGAAATGCCGCTTTGGTGTCCACCTTCCTCCCCAGGAAAGACGCCTGCTTTGCCAGAAAAGCCTTGCAGATCCCGTCAAGCTCATGCCGACACGAGCTGAGGTGCAAAGAGAGAATGAAGCTGGCTTGCGTCGACTAAGACAAAGATCGCTTTTCCTGGACTGCCTCGACATGTTTGACCGACGGAACTCGGAAGATCCTACCACAGCCTTTCTTGGTGAGCCCAAGTACGAGAATAGGCCAGATGGTCCTCTGAAAGCACTGAGCACTGAACGTTTCGAGGAGAAGATTGAGCTGAAGATTGGAACTCTGGTTTTGCTGCTCGTCAACCTTGACTTTGAAGCCAAGCTAGTCAATGGTACACAAGGGAAGATAGTGGATCTCAAGCCCTGGGATCCTGTAGCCGATGCCATGCACCGCAGAGATCCCGACTCACCAAAGAAGCGCAGCGGGAAGGGCGCTAGCGGTAGCAATATCGACTCAAGAACGGAGGAGATAATGGAGATCAAAGACCAACAAGTCCGCGAGTTTATGACAAGGCAACAGTGCCAAGATGTGCCGGTGGTGGACTTCGGCAACGGACGCATTCGAGGTATCGGACCCTGCTGCCAGATTAGAGACGTCGGCAGTGAATCGCCTTACAGCCTGCTTGGTCGAACACAGATCCCACTAACCGCTGCCTGGGCTGTGACCATCCACAAATCCCAGGGCATGACCCTGGACAGAGTTGAGATTGACCTGTATCGCAGCTTCGAGAAGGAGCAGATGTATGTCGCTCTGTCTCGTGCGCGGAGTCTGGAGGGTTTGAGTGTGTTGCGGATGCCACAGCAGAATCTCACGGGCATGAACAACGAAGTAAGAGAGTTCTTGGAAAGCCATGCCCTTTTGAATCTGGATAGGCTCCTGGCAAAGTGAGAGTCCTTGTGGTATACCACCTTGGGATTGGAAACCTGCCCTATTGTGATTATGGCTGCATGCCGCCAAGCTGCATGTCATCTGCTTCTTGATTACTCATTTCATTGGAGAACAAGGTCCAAGATAATAGTTCCCACGAGGTCTCAGATTGAGCAAAAATAGAAAGAGTCTTCTGCCGAAGTCGAGATCTTAACTGGAATCCCTCACCAGCCGTAGCGGAAATGAATTGACTGTCCAAGCATGAGATGCTCAGAAACGACCGCATAGCACCAAACGCGCCAAGTAGGTACGATTGAGCGGCGAGGATTTTACCATCGGACGAGAGTGTTGAATTCTTGCGAGCGCAAAGTCCTTGCGCGCAGCTTTCATATACCATCGAGAAGTGCGTCACGTCGGCTGATCTCGTCCAATGGTAGGATACCTGTCGCCGTCTCCCTCAACGGCGTGCTTCTCTTGCAAGTATCCCAGGGCGATCAGGGCAGGGGATGCGTGTTTCGAATCCGGCGGTCGGCATCTGACGATTATTTCTTTTTGCTTCTGAGCATCAACCTCTGACGGCTGTTGTTCAGACTGTGAGAACAACCAAAAATCGTCGGCCTTACATCCAGTCATAGGAAGGCTCGGGTTTGATTTACATGTGAGGTAACAGTGAACTGAACTGTGGGAATTCGTACAAAAGCCTGTGGATACAGATGGTGCTCGACACAAGACATATCTTATTCAAACTCGTGTCTCCACGTACTTCGTTCAGATGTATGCTTCAATTTCAGAGCTCACGGTGTCCGAACGATTTCGACGATGATGTGCCTCGCTTCTGGGGGTCCAAAGCTGTGGCTTGATGATCTTCAGTTTGATCGGAAATCTCAGCAGCCTTCAGGAAAAAAACAAGATAGTGGAGACGGCGGGACTCGAACTCGCATCTCACAGAGGAAGGGCGGGAGGGACCCACAAAAGACACCTCTGTGTATCTTACCGTTAGACCACGTCCCCTTCTGATTGGATGCCTATGGTTGGTGCCACGCTTTCACATGCTGAAGAGCAAAAAGTCATATTCGACTCAGATCTTGGACCGGAACATGAGCAAAAAGAATCATTGGACATCCCGGGGATCGAACCCGGATCCCGTACGAGCGGATATGCTACGAGGAGCTTCAGCCTCGAGACTATCATCCATCACAGAGCTGTGGGATCGGCATAGACCGCAAGATGCTCGTACGGATCTTACCATTGGACCAGACGCCCTTGGAATGATTGATTGGATGGCGGACATGACGAGGCTGTTGTACTGTGTAGGCTCAAGGGATTGTGTTCCTTTGGACTCTTTGCATGTGACACGATGAGGCATTCTTCGGGAGTGTGGACGTTAGCTTCAACAGCATCAATTTCATTTCACGAAACCAACATGGCGATGAAGCCCTTAGAAGCTGCAAGAAGTAGGACTTGACTACACTCAGCCATGGACTTGAACCGCCATCCCGCTTGGGGCATGGGAAGTACCCAAAAGAGCCTCTTACGCGTCTTATCATGGGACAAATTGGGCTGTCATTTGATGATGTGAATGACGAGCAAGCATTTTTTCTTCAGTGCTAGTACTTGAGGGATACTAGTAATTTCCTGATGAGGCTCGAGGTGAACGTCGAGGTTTGAAGTACTCAGCTGGGTTGATCTCGTCAGGTCGCAGATGATATCAAATGGAATGCTTGGCAAGTAGCTCAGAGATGACCAGAGTCTCGAAGTTGGAGGCATGAAACTCGTGTTTGACTTCCTGACTGGAGTTCCAGTTGCAGCGACGACGTGACCTTGGCGGTTGTGAGTCGAGAGGATTCATCGCTTGGGGTAGTCTGAGAGGCGAAGTTAAGTGTCGACGCTGTGATGCTTTTTGATACATTTCTATACTGTACATCGTTCTCGCGCCTCGGCAGTGACCGCGCTGCATCCCTTCTTATTGATGTAAGCAACGCTTCAATGCTGTGTTGCGCCTCGTTTCGGGCAATGACGGCGACCGCGCAGGCGACCACCTGTAGACGAATCGCCGTGACGTAGGTCTCTGAGCGCCGTGACGAGATGTAAAAGCTTGCTACAGCTTTGTCATAGATCAGCTCTCATGCCTCCTCTCTCTTCGTGTGTCTCCATGCTTCCGCCATCAGCCACTAGTAGGCCCTCTCGAAGGATACAGTTGTCCTCGCTTCCGCTGGCGCACGCTCCTGCACAATACCCCAGTCCACCGCAGCCCACCAGTCCTCCAAGAACTTCCTCTTTCCCGCCACACCATAGTCATACATGTACACATGCTCCCAAGTGTTCACACAGAGCACCGGCACAAGGCTCGTGCCTCCTGGCGGAATCTTGGCCTGGCCTCTGCCTTGCTGGCTGTGTGGGCCAAATGCGCCGGCTGTGTTCGCGGGGATTTGCGATTGAGCGTTCAAGTATCTCTGATACGAGTATGGGTTGTTGGTGTTCATGTCCACGCCTTGCTGCCTGTATCCTGCTTCTGGAAACGGGGTTCCAGCCAAGTATGTGTTCAAAATGCGCCACTGCCCGCTCCTGCTGCTCAACCTTCCTGCGGCATCCACCTTTCGTGCCCAAACCAGCCACACAAATCCTGGACCGAACATACTCGCGGCGGTATCGATCATGGTTGCGCGCAGAGTGTCGATGCTGCCAAAAGTCTTGACTAAGCTCTCCACCATCTGGGGCGCCTTAGTCAGAGGGATGGGCTGGGTGGAGAGAGCGCCGAAAAAAAAATGGTTGTTGAATGCCATGCTTGCGTGGTTGAAGACGGCGGCATTCATAGGATCTCGTGCGAATGATAATATGAGGTCTTTGGTAGTGAGGTTTTCGATGGGTTCGCCGGCGACGAGGTCATTGAGCTTCTGGATGATGTGCGCTTGGTATTCTGTCCATGCCAATTTGTATCCTTTCGCAGCGAACAAACCACGCACGCCCTCCACCGTGAAAGCCTCCTCGAATCCCAACACAGGTACCTTATGCAGGTGTCGTTGCTGTTGTCGCTGCGGTTGTAATCGGGGGAGGATGGAGGTGCGTGTCTGCAGCACGGTGAGTACGTCGGCATTGGCATTGGCATTGATGGAAAGGACGCACGCATGAAGAACATGTCCACGGCGGGAGCTTGCAGGCACTCGCAGGCCTCAATATGCGTCTCGTGATCATGGCGAAGCGTGGATTGCATGTGAATGTCGGGTGTGGTCTGCACGTTCGACGTCGAACTTCACCTCCGTCTCGGCTCGATTTCTCCGATGCACTCACAGCCAATCGTTTGCTGTCCGTGCACCGCTCCTCAAACGCGCGCCCAAGTGTTTCAGCTTCACTCTGCCCGACTTCCCAAGACATGCTCACCACCACACAATGCCTCCAGACTGCCGCTGGTGTCACCGCGAAATAGCACATGGCCTCCGTCATCCAGCGCGTCTCCACGTCGTCGACATGCTCGCTCCACGTCCATTCATCCCCAAGACAAGACACGGTAAGACCTGCTGACCGTCACCTGTCCCATTTCCATCTCCCTTCACTCCACTCCCTTGTCTTCTACATTCACCTCTGTCTCGCCTGCCTGCGAGCGTGGATCGGCCTGCATTGCATTTCCTTGTCTCTTTTCCTACTTCTGTTCTGCTTCTCTTCAAGATCCCCGCGCGGCTTCCTGCGCAAGCGCTCCAACATGCTGTCTACGAACCTTCTCGCGGCTGCTTTCCTGCTCGACTGTCATCTTGCAAGCGCACTCTGGATCCCGAGAGAACTCGAGAACGACGCAGCCTTCTGGCAGCCCGAGGCATCCACTCCTGTTGCCAGACGAGACGCGCAGACATGCGGCGGCGTCCCAAATCTCACGCCATGCGGCACTGGATTCCCGTCGAGCTTTTGCTGCAGCGCGAACAGCAACTGTCTGCCGTTAAACACCACGTCTCCAATCACGGCCGCACTATGCTGTCCTGCTGGCCAGGACTGCCAAACCATTAGTACCGTCAGTTGTGACAAGGGTCTGCAGAACGCAACTGCTACACCAAGTTCCGAACTGCATTCGGATCCGCCTACCCAGCTGGACTCTTGCGGGAACGCATGTTGTCCCATGGGATACAAGTGTCAGGGCGGAAATTGTATAGCGTTGACTGCGAGCCAGGTCACTGCGTCCACGAAGTCAATCTCTTCACTATTGCCAACCTCTACAGCGTCGATCTCGGTCAACGTGCCATCGACGACGGCTCCTGCGAGCGAAGCAGCTTCTGCACCAGCTGATCTTACAGACTCCAACAAGTCTTCACATGGCTTTTCAGGTGGCTCATTCGCTGCTGGCTTCGTTCCGGGCATCGCGATTGGCCTTCTTGTTGCGGCCTTGGTCATCTTCTGCATCCGCAAAAAGCGCCAGAATCGGAGCTATGGCGATGAAAAGCACAGATCGTCCGCACGAGACACCTTGACAGATCTCTCTCCAGATCTGTACCGCCGCCCAACCGTACATGGTCGATCGATCTCAGAACCTGCGGTCGACACGAGCGCTGTTCATCGTACTGACTTCCTCAACTATTCGCCCCCAAGTCAAAAGAGCATCCGCCTTGATGGGGCTACAGGATATGTGGTGGAGGTGACATCTCCGCCAAGAGAACCAGTCTCGCCCCAAGAGCCTGCCAGACAGAAAGGCTGGTTCTCGCGCTCGCCATTCGTCAACCAAGTCTCAACCCCCAAACCGACACATTCACCGATCCCGAGTCACCTCAAGCGAGGCACACTCTCCTTCAAAGTCAGCCCGGTTCGTGGCCTGAAGAAGCAGAGAAGCATGCACTCGCTCCGCCGACAAGCCGATGATCGCGATGCAAGAAGACCCGATAGCCTTGCTCGAAGGCAAAGCACGGAGACGATCAAAGTCGCAATGGCGACCCCGGATCAGCACGCTCCTCAACTTCCGCCCACCAGCTTTGGCCGTACCCCAGAAGAGATGCTTGCTCGCAACCTTCGTCCACAAAATCCAGAGCCGCTCACATCGCGAAGCTGGCAGACTATGACCTCTGGTGTCTCAAGCGAAGAATCGACACCCATCGACGAGGAGCCAGGACACAATTACCAAACACCCACCCGACCGGGCCGAAACAGTAATGTCGCAAACATCGGCGCTACGCTGCAATCACCATACACTCCTTCGAACTATGGTCCAAGTCAGCCTGCGCCGCTGAAAGTCAACAAGCACGACTTTCTTTCCGTAGATCCTGCTGCAGGCAAAGCTTGGAGCAATCGACTCAGCAGTATCTTTCCCGATCGGGACCGTGATTCATCGTGGAGAGATACGAGGATGACGACCTGGGGTAGCATTATGAATAAGGCGGGCTTGACGAAGAGCAAATTGTATGATGGCGACAACGCTGGTGGCAAGTTTGTGACAAAGGGTGGTGATCCGAGGGAATGGAATAGACGGTCGTGATGTCGACAGCAGTGATTATCTCTCGATCAAGCGACAAAATACTACGACTTGAATGACAAGACCCGCTCAATTCTCACAATACCTGTCACTTTCATTTCGTCCGGCAAAATTGGCAACATCTAGCAGTACTCCAAACCCCAGACTCTCGCACTGAGCCTGATTCGACTCGATTCTTGCAATCGCAACATCCGCTACACGGAACACGGCGTCTCTTAAGAACGGGTGGCAGACTGGTAGAAAGATTCTCGAGAACGGTGAAATGGCAAAAGGTATATATACCTTTCACCTGCACCACCTGGCCAGCATTCGGTAAATCGACTCTGCCGTACGCGTCAACAAGTGCTTCGTTGGTCGGAGACAGTAGTCTTGTCTCGCACATCTGTCGCAGGGCGAGTACTGTTCTTGCTTGGTATACAGTGTTAGGAGTTGGTCAATTTCTCTCGTAGGCCAAGATCCCTAGACCCGTATGGTCTGACACGGGTCTGGTTGGAAGATCGCTTGGGGCGAGTATCGGGCCACGCGCGGGGATTGTATTCATGTTGTACGCATGGCCTTACAGTGATGAGATCTGATTTCAGCCAGAACAGTTAGTTGCGTGCTATGCGATTCAGTCAGAACCTATCATCGACATCGCTCATTACATTCTCAATCCCCATAAATATCTTCTTCTCCGTCACCATCCTCCTCAGCGACGTTCACACCCTGCCTCCTCAACATCTCAGCATATTCATTATTGCCTTGCTCATTATCTTCCTCGTCATCATCATATCCACCTCTCAGAATGTCATCCAATTCATCATGAGGTTCCTCATGCGTCTCGGTCTCCTTCAAGAAGCGAGCAAGCTTGTTCGGCTTCTCTGCCCCAGGTTCATTTTCATCATCTTCACGAGGTCGGACAGTGCCTCTTGGGGGCGAAGCAGGAGGAGCTTCACCTGTCCGCTGACCCGAAGACCCTTGCGGAGGACGCAGCCCAGGTAAGAATGTCTGGGGAGATCCTCTTGGCGTCGTGGGTGGTAGAGCCAGACCCGTTGGGCTCCGTGCGGCAGGAGCTGTAGCCGCGACCGGAGAAGTCGTGATTGTGATTTCTTCATCATCATCGCCATCCTCGCCGAAAAGATCATCATCCGTTCGCAAGCCTGGATCTTCAGGTTCGGTCAAAGGATTCGGATCAAGAGCGGGAGGTCCAGCTGCGCGCTCTTCTCGATCTAGAGGATCTGGCTGCGCGACTGATTCAAGGATTGTTGTGACTGCTTCGGCCTCTCGCGCACTTCGAGGTTCTGGAGTTGGTATGCGGTTGCCTGACATCACGTCCACAAGAGCCGACGTGTTGGGCGGAGTGGTCGGTGTAGTTGTTGCAGCTGCGGCGGCTTCGCGACTGTGTGCGTCCTGGGCGAGATGCATCTGAATGGAGGTCAGAGGATCAGAATTGAGATGTGTGTTGGGCACTGGCGATGAGAGATCTGCTCCGACAACTGCTGTGTTTGGCGGATGAGAAAGAGAAGGCACATTTGATATGTCTGCTGCAGATGACCCGCCGACCATCGAGGCACTTCCTCCAAAGCGTCGTGTTTGATCTTGGTGCGTGGCTTCTCTTTGACGTTGACGCTGCTCGGGGGTTCCATGGCGGTTGATGAATTCTGCAATTTGACTTCGACCGTCGGCCATCGCACTCACATCCTGATCTTCTGCTTGAGGGCCGACTGTCGGTGGGAGCTGCGGATTAGCACCCTGGATGTTGGCGTCAGAACCATCGAGCGGCTCTGGCTCATAGTTGTCTCCGTCGTCCTTGTTGGTGAAACCTCCATTCTGGGGCTGATTGTCTGACGTAGAGGCCGGACCAGGAGCGGATCTCTCCTGCGTATCTTGTGTCCGACTATAAACAATGGCCCTGTATCGAGCGAGAAGTGTCTCCGAAGAGTCTTGAATGTCAAACTCGACTTCGGACGGGGAACGACCACTGTCGCGAAGAGCTTCTTCCAGCTTAGCTCTGTTTGGAATGCTCGCATCGTTCACTCTCCATTCGTCCAGATCATTATCCAGCCGGAGACGATCGATGAAAACATTCAAATCGTGATTTCTTAAGATAGGTATCGTCTTTTCAAATGCGCGGTCTGCCGGCACGCTGGCAGTGGGTGCGACAAACCCGTAGCACTTCAAGAATGCCTCTATGGTTTTGCTGTCCATTTTGGATTCGCGGGTAAGATTGATCATTTGAACACCATCTCGTTGGAAATTTTTGTAGTTGCGTAGCACGGTGGCAGGACCAGACGCAATTTCAAGCCCGAGCGCGATAGCCCATGCATTGAAAACAGTGTGTAGTCCACATTCCCATGCGCTGTTCTGTCGGATCTGGTTTGTCCTCGGATGAGCCGTCTCAGGTATTGAGAAATTCGTATGACGTGCCCATCCCAGGTCTCTGAGGAGATCTTTGAACTTGGTAACGTGCTCTTGAAAGTCTTGTGTATGCCCTGTACGCTTGGCGCTATCGTAGTGGTAGATTTCGAAATCTTGATTCTCTCCACGGTCCAAAACGAACAGAGAGTGGTGTCCCCGGCCGCTTGCATTGTCCATCGTCGAGAATGGAAACAGAACCGGACGACCTGGTCTCGCCGTTTGCTGGCCCGGTTTTGGCATCCCAGGAAAGCTTAGAGCTACAATGCCCGCAGGAGGGAGGTAAGCAAAACGAACTGCTTCATTCTTCTCAGTAACGGCTTCGGCCACTGACACGATCGCCTGTTGCAGTGTTTCATCCAGAAGGAACTGTCCTTCGACGACTGGATCTTCAGCCGTGGTCTTGAAGTTTGTACGGCGGCGCACAAGCTCTTGCAGTCGAGAAGGATAATCTTTGCAAGGATCGTCAACCGACCCGGACGGCATCTGCCCTGAACTCCCGGTATCATTTCCGTCGCCTCCAGACTTCTTGCGCTTCGGAGCATCATCCCCATCGTCCTTCGAAGACTTTCTGGAGCGCCTGCGGGATTGTGTGTAGGCGCCAGGGAAGACCGTCGCGGAATAGCCAAATGCTGGTTGGCCACTGGGTGAAGCTCCTGAAGACAACGTATTTGCATCGTTCGCCATCGTTTGCTTTTCCTGTGCTGATGATATAGACCTACTAGGCTCGACTTCGGTGGCGTTTGAGAGAGGAAGTTCGCCAGAAGGGGCCTCAGAATTTGCCGCTGTGGTGTGGGCCGCGGCCGCATTTTCACCCGTGAAGGAGTTTTGATGAGGGATTGTGTGTGGAATATCTCCCAAAGCCTCTCGTGCTTGGTTGCTGTCAACTCTCGGCAAGGGTGTGATTGGTGCAGCGGCGACAGGTTCTCTCTGGGCAGGTGGCGAGGCTGAAGCAATTCTTGCCGGAGTTGGAGTGATAGCGGGAGTGTCTTCGTGTTTCTGCTCGGTCTGCGCGCTTGTACCTTGGAGACCAGAGACTTCAGTCTCAGGCGCGGCGGCGACGGCTTGGTTGCCTGCATGACCTGCATCTCCTTCGATCAAACTCGTTCCGGCACCATCCTGTGCTGGTGGCCGAACGGCTGACGTCGATCCAGATCCTGGCTCAGCTGCATCTTGAGCGATCGCCGCTGGTACTCCAGCCGACTCAGCAGTGTCTGCTGCGGGTCCTGCGGGCTCTTCTGGATCTCCAGCAGCAAGTGCAGTGGCCTTGGCCTTGCCTTTGCCGTTCTTCGCTCTCCCTTTGGCCCCCTTCTTGGTGCTTGATTTCTTCACTCCGGCGGCTTTTGGGGCTGCCGCTTTCTTGGCCGGAGCCTTCTTCCTGGTCGCTTTCTTTCCTCCTTTGCTGCTTGAAGCTTGATTTTCAGCATCCTTCTTCTCAGCTTTGGCCGCCTTTTCTTCGGCTTTGGCCGCTGCTCTGTCCCGGATTGATTCCTTGGTGTCGACTTCTTCAACCTCCTGCTCCTTGTGCGCCAAGATCTTTTCGGGGTCTTGGGTTGCAACGACTGGCGAAAGGTCGTCGTCGCCAGCGACATACCGGCTTCTCGTTCTGACATTCATGGCTGTTGCTCAAACAAATGCTTACGCGATACCCTCTGAAGGCGTGAGCAGCGACAGTGTACGTAGTCGTTCGACCGACCGCTCGAAAGCGACAGCAAGGTCTTTGTTCTGCCATGTCCGCATCCGGCCTGACATGCAGATTGCCATTCTTGAATGCTTTCAGTGCAGACTTGGATGTTGTCACTCTGGCGAAATGCTCTATTCGACGCTAGCAGCTGCAGTACATGACCGACAGCGATGCGCTCGGAGAGAGATGCACTCGAGATTTGCAGAGGAATGCTGCAAGCCTATGACACAATGTGATTGTCGATGCTGGAATGTGGCCAATGCTTGGCAAATCGTGTCCCTCATTCTCTCCATTCTGAAGGCATTCCGACAGACCACTGCTAAGCCAACGCCAGAGAGTGGAACGGCGACGAGGACTCCCTCGATCACATTCTCTTTCCTGTATCGATATTTCTTGGACTGCTGGGCTGCCCTCTCATTCGTCTTCGGAAATTTTGCCAAAGAACTTGCACAGCGGCTTCCAGCCTTCGTCGATGGTCATCTAGAGCAGTCTTCCAGGGGTAATCTCGCAGGCCTTGAGAATGTCGTCGTATGTCTGCTCTGCACAGCTTTCATGTTGGGCAGGATCTCACGTGAATTCCTCGCATCGAAATAGCCCAAAGCCTGCTTCTGGCTCACCGTCGCGGCAAATGTACCGATCCAGGGCTCTAGCCATATCACGATGTAAGTAGCCCAGTGGAACAGACCGTTGGTGATAGCTGTATATTCAAAAAATTTCGACCAGGCGTCGTAGTCACGATTGACCAACACGGCCTAGGTATCCACAAGCTCCCTCCACAGAAAACACGAAGGCAGATCTACAACGCCGGCAAAATCGCATAGGCCTTTGTCGAACTCTTCTCGACCATAGACTTTGCCCTTCCCTTCATACTTTGCTTCGATGCATTTCAGCCAGAATTTGCAAGATGGCCTGCAGTCACTGATTAACGGTACACCGCAACACGACCAAGCAGGAGCACGCTTACGTGTTCTCCGTGGGGAGATATTAGATTGGTGCTCCGAGCAGTTTCGTTGAGTGCAGTGGACATCGTAAGTGTCCATTTCGCGGAGGACTGAGCACCAGCACTTGCATTGGTACTTTACGTTTCGAGGTCATCGCCATTTTTATGATCAGTGCTGTCTTAGTGGAGAATGAAGTTGCGAGAGTTTAGCTGAACGAAACATTAGCATACCTACCAAGGTTCATGTAGCTCCAGCCAGCTGGATCATGTGTCGTCCAACCTGGAAATCTGTTCGTTGCCCTGGTGCACAAGCTGACAGCGTGATGATAGGGCAAAAGCCCAAAGTTCAAGCGCTGTGAAAGGATCGAGGGATTCGGCACTCCTTCAACGAGAATGCAGTTCGGGTTTTCAGCTGCATGATAAGGATGCTCAGGGCAGTCAGAACAGGTCGTCTGAACGAGAGGAGGCCGGATGCGAATGCTTGGTATGGACGCATTCAGTCAAACAGACCAGACGGCCCTTTATGGCCGGAGAGCAGAGTTGAGGAGTGCGCGAATATCTTAGACCTCTCCAAACTCTGTCAAACCATCTTGCTTGTCAATCTTGACAACCAAGACAGCGAATTGGCCATTCTTTTTCTCATCCCATATGATCTCGCCGTTCTCATCTGTCGGGATGTATTGCTTTGCTCCCGGGATCTTCAGCAGTTCCTTCTTGACCTTCAAGCCCTCCTTCTTGAAATCAGCCTTGAGGGCCTGCGCTTCCGGTCCTGTCCATTCCGACTTAGCCTTCGGCATGAGTGTCCATGGCACACCATACTCCATCTCAAATTGAGCACCTATCTCTTCCTTCCGCAGTCCGACTTTGTTCGCTGCGGCCACGTAATAGTCCCATATGCTTTGCAGGACCGGCGCATCTGCCAGCTTCTTTTGATCGTCTGGATGCCAGACCGGTGCGACTTTCTTGACTCGCTGGTATGAGACATCGAACAAGATGGCCATATCAGCATTGAGAGTGACTCGTTAGTTGTACTGCCTACGCCCATAGATCTTGAAGGTTCGAGTACTCTCCTCTCCGTACTTGGTCTGCGCTGCTAATGCATTCTGGGGAATGCCCAGCTGCTTTGCGATCGTTTGAAGCGATAAGGCTTGCCCTCCAGACGCGTGGAGCGCGTTGACCGATGGCACCACTTTCTTCAGTCGCTGCTCGGAGATTGTGAACTGGTACTGCGTGCGAAGAGTCGCAAGTAGCTTTGACCTTCCCAGCTCAGGATGCGGACTGCGAATCTCGGAAACTGCTTGGAGGAGCGCGTCGTCTGTCGGGAAGTTTGGGTCTGGACCCGTCATCGTGTCCTTCGAGTGCTTCTGGCGCTGGGACTGAGTGAGCATCAATTTGAGGGCAGCATTGCTACTGAAACCAATGGTGGCCGTGACAACGGGGTTGGGTGCCTCGGATCAGCTCTTTTCTGGATGAGACTTATGATCACAATCCGAATTTCTCGAGAACGTTTATGCTCAAGAACACGACACACCGGTGCGGTGGGAAATGAGAGACGCAGGCAATGCAAGGGTTATCACTGCAGGGTGAGGTGACAGGTCGCGAGTCGATCTGAGAACGAGCGCATCAATGTCTATGACGAGAAAGATATATATGGTGGAAGCATGACACATTACTACACTGACAGCCCGCTCAAGTGAGATATCATCTCGGGTTTAAATATACAGTGTAGTTTACGCTACTCACAAGGCCAGTCTACGGCCTGATCCACCCTGCTCATGCACGCAATGCCTGTACAGTGCCTCGCTCAATCTGACCGATGATACCGCCTCCAGAGAGTGTCCAGGTTTCACTCACGAGGTTCTCCGTGACACCGTTCCTGAGCATTCCCGATTGCGCATAGTACTGCATAACACCCCGAGCTTCTTCTTTGCTCAGACCACGGAGTTTTGTGACGCCTACAGTCGCCATTGCATCTTGTACCCACTTGTCATAAGCGACGTATGGGTCACCCGCCTGAGGTTGCTTGTTGCCTTGAATGGCTTCATTGCGCTTGATACAATGGTGTAAAGTGTGTGCGCTTGCCTTGTTCGATTCAGACACTGCGGCGAGGACCATGCCGCCGTTCGGAAGAGGTATCTTGCCAGAGAGCAAGTCGATGAAGTGCTTCACAAGTGTGAGTTCGTGTGCGTGAATTGGCTGAACGTCGGGATCCAAGTATGCGGACAGCCGCGAAACGTGATCGAAGCCATCCAAGCTGTAAAACACTGGCGGAAGGTCGCCTCCTGGCGCACTAAGCTCAGCCCAGAATGCTTGCCAGACGGGCCATGCAGCGTCTGGATCTCGAGCACCTAACTCTGCGAGCCGCAGAAGTGTGCTGTTCGCCGGGAGAGGAATTGGCAGCTTGTGCTGCTGCTTCATCTTCAATGTTTCTAATGTGTTGCGATTGGCCTTGGCGATGTTGTCCAGCAGCTTCGCGGTGTAGTGTGGCTGGACGTACATGGTTCCATTTTCCGTCTCGATGGGCTCATAGGAAGTGTGAGCATTGACCAAGTCCTGGGCTTCTGGTATATGCACGACAACCCATTTCCTCAGTGAAGCCATGGCCATGGCTTGAAGCTGTAACACACTCTTACCGCTGTCGCGCTCACCATGAATGACCTTCCGTACGGTTCTTGCTGCTTTTACTGCCGCGACCCACTCTATGTCACCAGCAAGGTCCACGGTCTCTTTCCGGATCAATGTCGCCGGTCGTCGAAAAAGACTCCATCCTTGTGTAGGTTTGAAGGCTTCTGCTGCTCGTAGCGCATCGACGGTAGGATTATTGAGGCCCAAGACGGCTCCTTGAAACTTTTGAAGGACTTCGCTGTTTATGTTTCCCACGTCGAGATCCGGAAGGCCTTGGATCTCGAGAGCATTGGTGTTGCTGAGCACAACCCTTTTCCGAAGTGCCTTACGTTCACCAACAGCTGGGGGTCTAGTTGGTGATGCGCGCTTGTTCTTGGTGAGACGTAATGTTCGTCCTGCTCGGGATGCTGGCTTCGCGACTACACCCTTTTTCTTCTGTACCGGTTGCGCGGAGAGGGACGTCGATGTGGAGAATGAGGACCGCTGTATGACATGGTTTGGCGCAGCTGTCTCGATGGCGTTCAATGAGCGCTTGAGACAGCGCAGACACATTGAGCGCGGCATTGGCGACTGCATCTTTGGGACGTTGCTTTCAATGGAAGCATTGCATGGCATTGCATGGAGTGGCTGATGATGCAGCAGCGGAGCGGACTCCGGACAGGCCGCGGAGATGCCAAGCTTTCACGCCATGCTCGACTCGACTTCTCGTCGTTCTCGACAACCACCTACTGTGTTTTACGTTAAGGTTGAGAATGCTAAGGCCTCTCGATTTTTATACGTTCTCTAAAAAATACTTCCTCGATAGCGTAATAGTAATTTTCTCGATCTTTTCTCCTATCTTTTACCTATCTTTCATTTATCTCTTATTTATCTATTAACTATTTTTTACCTACCTTTTATTTATCTTTTATTTATCTTCTATTTATCTTTTACCTATCTTTTATTTATCTTTCAGTTGTCTTTTATTTGTCTTTTATTAATCTTTTATTTATTTTTTTATTTATCTTTTATTTATCTTTTATTTATCTTTTATTTATCTTTTATTTATCTTTTATTTATCTTTTATTTATCTTTTATTTATCTTTTACTTATCTTTTACTTATCTTTTACTTATCTTTTACTTATCTTTTACTTATCTTTTACTTATCTTTTACTTATCTTTTACTTATCTTTTACTTATCTTTTACTTATCTTTTACTTATCTTTTACTTATCTTTTACTTATCTTTTATTTATCTTTCATTTATCCTTTACTTATCTTTTACTTATCTTCTATTTATCTTTTATTTAGTTTTTATTTTATCTTTTATTTATTTTTTTACTTATCTTTTATCTATCTTTTCTTCATAATAGCTCTGTACGATACATCTAGTATACGTCTCGAAAAAATGCGATGTCTCGCTATTCTCAACCTCAGAGTGTAGAAGTCGAAGCGTACTGTGTTTTGCGTTACAGTATCCGTATCCACGATCGAAGCAACATCCACCCGCGGCATTGCCATCCCTACCACACTCGCATGAGACGTTTGTCGTCATTGTCTTTCTTTAACTCTCCATGAAAGGTCTCAGCCTTTGGCTCCAAGAATGGAACAAGGACGCAAAGACATTCTACATTGTCTCTTGCTCTGAGCAATGTCTACTTACATGGCACCTCTGACTTTTTTTCTTTTCGCCTAGCAAACAATCATTACACCTTAGCGCTGGCAGCAAGGGTCACTTTTTAAAATATGCAAACTCGCGCCGAATTTCTCAAGACCGGGCTGGAACCCACTGGCACTGTGCCAGAGAGCGAAGATTGTGCTGTGTGCACAGATGAATACACTGAGCCCGTCAAGATACAAGCCTGTGGCCACACATTTTGTAGGCAGTGCATCTGTCAATGGCTATCACTGAGATCGAAGAATACCTGCCCGACATGTCGACGAGTCCTCTTCGCTCTGAATGACAGCGATCGCGGGCCGATCGCCAGAACTCGAGAGCAGGTCGTCGCCATGAACGAGGCATTGCTGAACTCCCGATTGCTGACTGGCGAGTTCCACACATTCAGTACAGGCATAAGGTGGAGTGTGTCTGACATCCAGCGAGCCACGGCAGCGGCGAACTTCTGGCTGGGAGAGCAGCATCACACGAATGCGGCAGGGCCTGCGATCATAGATAGTCGCCGTTTGGGCCACCACATCATCACAATGGGCAATCTGCTGCTGGGATATGCCCAGGCATTGCAGCGTCCATATAATGAGGATGAGCTCCGCGATTGGTGCCGTGTGCTACGTGCCTTGTACGACGTTCTCGATACTAGAGATGGCACGCGCATGGATGCACTGGTCATGGTGCATCATGTCAGATCGGAGATTCAGGTAGGTCTGGCGCACCAAGGGCTTCCTGTACCACCTCTTTTCCGCGACGAGATCCAGCACGAACGGCTGCGAGCAGATCTAGACCTCTTGCTGCAGTACATTTGCCAAAAAGCAGTTGAAGTCTTCAGCCGACATGAGCAGCGCAAGATCGCAGCTCGAAAGAACACATCCTTGATCGGTAAGTTGGCGCATTGGGCTCAGCAATACTGGGTGGGCAGACATTAGCATCCAAACACGAAACAGAATCTTTTCTTCCTGGAAAACAATCTTAGTAGGCCGTCGAGCGTTCATAGATCTCGTCCTCTCCGCCCCAAACTCACTCAGCACAGAACTGAGAACTGACTTCACATGCACAAATCCTGCCTGCCAGCGGACCCCTATATGTACCAGTCCGAGAGCTGATACGCACAGTGTGGTTGCGACACGCGGGCCCAGATTGGGCACCCACTTACCTTGTCAGTGGCGCAACAGGTCTTGATCGAGCGATGGGCTGTAAGCTTGCGGCATCGAAATTATTGTCGCACCATTATTGCTCTCAGCCCGATGATACATCGTGTGTCCCGACCTTGGAGTAGTATCGTTTGCAATCATACAGTATCGTACCTTTCTGACGGCGAATCTGACCCGCCCCAGCAATCTGCTGATATATCAGACGTTCTTGGAGGTATTATCACGAGATGCATCGCGTTGTCTGTCGGTACGTAGGTCGCAGCCAGGACGGTCCTCGAGCTTTCTCGTGGTGTGCATAATGCCATGCCGGCAGCTGTTATCATGATGTCAACACAATATGTCATTCGGTGCTTTGTGCATAGGGAGGACAAGTGCAACACACAAGTGCCCAAGCGGCTTCGGCAGCTTCGCAAGCATGTCGGTGTAACTGCGTATCGCTCTCCAGAGGTCAAGCACCACAGGAGCTGGAAGCTTGATAGCAGATGGACCCGCATGTAGACCAATCACATGCTGGACAGGGTCCTTCCCCGCAATCTGCGGAGTGAGTAGTGTCAAGAGTCAAGAGGAGGCTAAACAAAGAAGTAGATTGGCCATCTCATCTCGTGCTGCTTATTCCTTCGAACTGCTGCAACACTCCCACCCTCACATACCTCTCTGCTTCGGCTGTACTGCCTAGATTGGACCCGAATTGGCTCACGACGAAGGAAAGAATATCCATCGAACATCGGTGCCGACACGCGCTGGAGACGCTTGGTGACGCACTCATACCACACCAGCCCAGCTCCTGACGATCTGCGAGACTGCGTTTCGAACTCACAACACCTCCTGGCTTCCAACGAACTGGGAAGGAACGACCGTGATAAGAGCGCGCTACGACTAGCATCGCGAACAACCACGCGGACTGTCGTTGGCCTTAGTGCCACCCAGTCCAAAACACCACACTTGCATCGGAAGCCGATACGTCCTTGATACACCGCCAAGTCGCACGCCAAACTACGCCCACCATGACCGACGACAACACCTCGTCTTCATCGCCACGCTCGGCACGTCGCTCGTCTTTCGCAGGCGAGACCCTTGCCAATCTGTTTGGCTCGGGCCACCGCGGCAGCATGTCCAGGACTGCCAGTGAGGCCAATACTAATGCCACCGGTCAACAGCCGGTTCAGTCCTACCCAGGCTCAATCGCTCATGCAGCTGCCTCGGCTCAGCGACGGAGACTGTCCATCAGCACGCTTGGTCTCTCTGCATCGCCCAACTCGTCTCCTTTCGGCTCGTACAACAACCGACGAGACAGCTACGGCACTGCCGGCAGCGATAGCATCGACGAATCCGCCATCGAGGACGAGCCTGGCCCTGCCAATGCAGCACCGCAGACACCATTCGCGAGGCGCATGTCGTTTGGAGCAAAGGCTTTGCGAGATGTGAGGACAGGAGGGACAACTAGTCCCAGTCAGAATGGTACTAGTAAGCCTGGTTCTGCTACTGCCACCTCCGAGAACAATGCACCGAAAGCACAGAACGGGACGATCTCGAACCGAGATTCCAAGGCTCGAGGTTTGTCTGAAATACACCTTCTTTTGTCGACACCCTCGCTCCACCATCACCTTCATGCTTACCATTTCCCCGAAATCGTGCTGACATATCGTGTCCTCGCAGGCTCTGAAGGATTTAATTGGTCCGAAAACTTCCGTACACGTGCCGAGCGTTCTTGGGTTGGAGGGGGCTCTTCCGGCTTTGGATTTGGCCAGAGCTCACCGCCTGGCCGACAGGATAGGAGCAAGAGCGTTGCGGTCATGGAGCCTCCAGCTCGCGAGATGCCGAAGCCCAAGGAGCAGGTTCGGCCGGATCACTTCCAGGAGAGAATCCTCAAGGGCGACTTTTACATGGACTAAGAATTGAAGAGATGGAATGGTTTTTGGGCGGATACGGTTTGGCACAGGCGTCCTTGTGGTGGATGAAAGCTTTGATGTGAAGACATGGGTATTGAAACAATCTGCTTCGAACACTACTTGAAAGCGACTGGAATGGATGAACAGGCGGGCAATTCACCTTTTGGCCACCAAAACTGCAGGAAAATCAATAACTGGTCGGCGCCACGGCAGAATGGGCATATAACGAAGTCACGAAGCACAGCATATTACGTTTGCGAATTCAGCAAATGAAAAGATTCGAAGGAGTCCGTCTGATGAGATCGTTGATCGGGGACACAAATGTATGAGAGCGGGAAGTTTCTTTTGGCACTGGCTGGTAACACGGATTGGTTGGCACAAAGTGTATGAGTATCAAATTGAGAATCTCGAATACAGGTTGGAATACCTGTCATGCAATGCAAATCGCTTCAGTCACAGCACCATGCTTTCTGTCTCAGATCCCTGCCTCGATTCTTCACACAATGTACCATCCATGAAATCACGCCTACTACCACTCGCTGCTCTCATGCCCACCGACTGGCCGTAGTCATGTCAGCGAGAAGGCGGCAACACAACTCAGATATCTCGCAAAAGTAGAGTCGCCACCTATTGAGCGCCGAAAAATAATCCTTGAGTCTTGGCATCATTCATGTGAAAGCTGACTCCACCTACAGTGTGAGACTTGCATACTAAACCACGCACGTACCTCCGAGCGGTCTCACGTTGACCAGCAACTAATCAAGTCGCAAAAAAGTGCTCCTCTTCCATCCAACCACCTCAAGCGCGTCTGGTAAGATAGGCAGGAATTTGGGGCGCGGGACCTCATGGGGGAAATCAATACCTTCCCTTAGGTGACCTGTACAGGCGACTCAGTCGTCGCCTCAGTGCTTGCGGAATGCGTGGTTCGATATCTCTTTCTTTTTTTTTGCCACCATTGGACCCCGAACAAACACTGTGAGACTTGCCTCCTCCTGCACCACGCACGAGCTCTCGAGGGTAAGATACGCAGGAGTCTTTGACGGTCGCCGGGTTGATTTCCTTTGCTGTGCTTTCAGTGCTGCGTTTCGCTTGCCCTCGCTCTTCTTGTTTCCAAAGGCCTCACCTGACGGGCGTTGTTTACGCCTGTTGGGTGAAGATCTCTCTTGCTGTTCAGGCCCTCGCTTGGTCGAATGCCTGCTGTGTGAAGGCTCCCCTATTCTCTCGTCCCCTCTGGCTGTCAAAGAATCCTGGGTTCTGTATAGCAAGATCTAGGGAGCAAAACCGCGGTCTTGAAGTCTCATTGTCTCAATTTCTTGATGAAGGAGAAAGCGCGAAGTTGTCACGCATCACTGTTTGGCGCTTTGACCTCCTTATGTAAGCAGGGGTCAGGAACGAACAGCTAACTTCCGCGACTGGCTTCTGAGTGAAAACAACATCTCGATATTCCACAATCATCAGCAAATGGACCCTGCAAGCCCGGTCGAAGGCCCAGATACCTTCAGCCGGGTCCTGCCTCTTCCTTTCCGTCTTCAGTTCGAGCTCGTACTGGGATTCTGGCTCTGGGCGTTCAATCTTCATGCTTTTCACCTCCTGGACATCGACATTTTCACTTTGATACATTATCCGGCCCGGCCCACTCACGATGAGCCAGCACTACACGTCTCGACATACCGGCTGGCAACGGTGCTGACGGGCATGTGCATGGGCGCAATCATCCTCTTCTGGAACTTCACGCACGGCCAAGCAGATCTGGTGATTGCCTACCACTGGATCCCGAATCTGCTTTTCCTGGCCATCCTCGCCGTTCTGTTCGCGCCACGCCTGCCATGGACACGGAGCATATTCGGCAGCACCAGCTCACATGGTGTTCATCGTTTGCTCTACGGACTGCTGCGATGTGCGCCCGGCGGGATCGCAAAGGCGAAGGGAGAAAAGTTTGGAGATGTTCTGCTGGCAGATGCTCTCACTTCCTACTCAAAACCCATTTCCGAGATTTTTGTCACTTTATGCATGTTCTTCAAGGGTATGCATACGACGGACAAGCCTGATCGCGCATGCGGGCGTGAAGTCATTGTACCATTGGCGATCGCCTGGCCATTCGTGATCCGCTTGAGACAGTGCATCAAGGAGGGACAATGGGCCAACGCGGCCAAGTACGCCACTGCTTTTCCCGTCATCATTCTCAGCTCTATGATGGGGAAAGATCCAACGTGGAAAGTGATATGGTAAGAGACATCATTCATAACTATCATACATGGACACTAACTTTATCAGGCGCCTAGCGGCTCTGGTCAACTCTCTATACAGCTTCTGGTGGGATGTGTCTATGGATTGGGACCTGACGCTACTTTCTCGGTACCGTCATCGCTCGCCATTCGGTCTACGCCAACAGCGTGTCTTCAGGCTCCCGCTTCTCTACTATTCGGTCGTGGCTTTCGACCTTGTTCTCCGCTTTGCCTGGTCTTGGAAGCTGTCATTGGCATTGGTCTCCCTGGATGGCATAGAAGGTGGCGTCTTCCTCTTGGAGATCGTAGAAATTCTTCGACGATGGGTGTGGGTCTTTTTCCGGGTCGAAACAGAATGGGTGCGCACGACGCAGCCTGCAAGCATAGCACTCTAATACAGCCACACGATGCTATACTACGCTGGCCTGCCGGGTCTGTTTAATTCCTCCTACCAACACAGCTCTCGCTAGTGTTGCTTCGCGGTCCCTTCGCTCGGAGTCTAGAACAAAACTCGGAGCGCTGTCGGATCGCGGAGGAGTTGAGACGCTTCCGAACATCATTGGTAGCATCAGATGGGCCTGTTCTTCTCTCCGCGGAGCAGCCTTCCCGCTTCCGCCGTCATGGGTGACAAAGTTGGTGATGAAAGGCCGCATGACCAAGATGGTAGATGCTATCAGCGAATAACACAGCTCTGCCTGACTCCACGAAACGAATTCAGCCTCAAGGAGGTTCGGATCCCATCGTTTGGCATCCGGATAGCTCAGCAGGCGGAGGACAGTGAAGAGAATGACTGGGAGGCGAAAAGCGAACATGACCACCACGACTGCTTTGTGACTCCAGCTCAGTGCAGAAACACCCCAGACGAGCCAGATGGGGATAGCGACCATGGCAAGCTCGAATAGACAACCAAATGCATCGAGGATCTCCCATCGAAGAAGAATTGCATCACTGCAGCTGGCGGTGCTCACGCGCCACGGTCGGTCCAAGCCGCATCTGAACGACAGTACGAACACCAGGGTTAATGTCCAGACTGATATGAGAGCGAAGATGACTTTGACGGTGTTCCTGTAGGGATTGAAAGGTGCGATCCGAAGCAGAAACGCAGCGACGGAGGCCTTGGAGAGTCCAACGCCGAGGGCAAAGAAGAGTGTCGCAGCATAGGATAGCTTGTGAATACACTTCAGTCACCGTTCAACCGTATGCACGTCAAGTAAACCTTACTCACCTGTTGTACCGTGTTCAAATCATCAACAGACAGCGAGACCTCCGACTTTCCAAACCCCACACGACATGCTCCGAGTACGAGGGACGCCTCCACAACGCTGAACACGGTCGCGACCGCCAGCAACGCGTCATCCAGCCCAACGCCAGGACTGATGATTTTGCGAATGAAGATGCGAATGCCGGCAAATGCCAGAGTCAGCGCCAACGCCAGTGAAGCAGCAATCACAATCCATGCCGAGTGGTCGTCGTCTGTGAGTGTCGCGAAAGGAGGAGAATAGCGTTGAGTAGCAGTGCTGCTCGATGGCTCGGACATGCGTCTTCTGCTGATGATTACGCATGAATGGGGGGGAGGAGGGAGGATGGGTGTGTGATGAGAAGAGAAGGGCTATTTTGAAGTTGGAATGGCGCAACAATAATGTCCTGCAGCGTCTAGACCTGGAGGTTCGAGGAACATCCCAGTTTCAGCTAGTTATCAGGCATCAATAATATCAACAAGAAAGAGATGTCATGGCCATTTCCAAGGAGAATGATGATGATACTGTCCGTAACTTAGCAGAGAAGGAAGAACAGGCGCGACACGTTCCTGTTCCTGTTGTTTGTGATGACATCTGCGGCCGGTCGGCCAGCTCGTCATGCTTCGTATTTCGTAAATGCAAGAACCAGGGGTTGGAGTACGAAAGCATAAAGTGTGATTGAGGCCGCGTATGCTTGCCACCGATTATGGCGGTTATCCACTGTAGTTGTATAACCGATTATCGCTAACTCTTAACAACCAATATTGTCCGCTTGTAACCGTTGTTTATAATCGTAGGTGTCTCGCTCTCGCTGATATATTGCTATATATAGCAAGATCTGCAAAACCGGCTCTCGAGGTAGTTTTGTAGCTATCCGTACGCTAAGTAGACTTCTAGCGCGCCGCCGCTATATCTACCTCTTTTAAAGCCGTATTTCTAATAGTATAGCGATTATAAGGGTATAGTTAACGATAGAACGATTATTAGCGGTCGTTCTAGCAGTAGCGGCGGTCTTAGTAGTGCCGCTATTCTTCCTCGAAGAGATACCGCGATTTCGAAGGCGCGAGCACTATCGACCGAGCGGCCGCGCGACGACTTAGATAGAGCGCAATAAATTCGAGAAAGAGGTGTTTAAGGTATTAAATAGACCGTTACGATATTGTCTAGAAAGAACGCGCCTTAGGTAACCGGTATTGCTATCGTTAATCGAGGAATTAAAGGAATACGGTAGATTAAAGTCTAAGAAGTATTTAGTAGAGGCAAGAGTAGTTATATTTCTCGTATATATTAGCTATAATAGCACCTACTTAGAGTTAGCTAACGACTTCGGTTGTTACGGTTACTCGCGACAGATCGTTAGGTGACTTCTTATTACGTGCAAGCCGAGGCTTCTTTAGAGAGGCTAATATAAGCGGGAGGCAGAGACAGAATAATTGGTATAAAGGTAATTCCAATCAGTAAGTAGGTAACATAAGTTGAACGCCTCGAGCTATAAGGGCATTCCGGCGTTCCTAAATACAAAGGAGACATCTTGTCTATAGTCGTAAGCGACGTAAGCGACGCTATCGCTCTCGACCGCTCCTATCGCTCTTAGTAAGATAGAGCGATAGCTTAGCCTACTAGTCTTAGCGTCGCTCTAAGATTATATAAGGACTCTAACCAATTAGATCCGTAACACTATCCCCCTCCTTAAGCGGGATAGTCCCTTATTCCGGAACTTTCTAATTCTAACTTCTTTGCTATACTAAAGTTATTAAAGGACTTATCTTCTCGTTAGCGTAAGGAAAATATCGCAAATAACATCCTTACCGATTGCCTCGAAATGCCGATCCGCTGCTTTTATTACGAATAGGCCGATAAATCCTACAAAGTCGATCTCCGTTCCGGCCGCTGCTCCGAGTGCGCCCTATACGGCTAGTCCTATAATATACAAGTTACTCGTATAGAGTATAAAAAAATCCGGAAGGCGCGCCTAAAGATAGCTAAAGATCTCGAAGCGGCCGAAGAGGAGGAAGACCTCCTTACGCGGAAGCTTTTCGAGCATCGCGTAAAGGTCCGTCGCTTACGCAAGTCGCTACGTATAAAGGAAGATCGGGAGGTATAAGCTCTTAAGGTAGAGGAAGCCTCTATTCAATAGGCGGAGGAGCTCGAAAGAGAGCTAGGCTCTTCGCCTATAGAGCCGATAATATTCTCGTTACCTGCTAACGAGCCGTTTCCCCTAGATAGCCGATTATAGATGTCGCCTTATAACTGGAGTCGTCTAGATAGGACGTCCTAGCCTACCTCTAAAATTCCTAGTAGGAGTGCCGAGAGTCTAGTGTCTTAAAGGTATATATTTTCAATATTTCCTATCTATTTTATCTTCTAGCTAGTTGGTCTAGTAGTATAATTCTTAGCTATAAAAGACATAGTTGCTAGGTACGCTATTAGAGTCCCCGCTCCTCGAGCTACACTGCCCTAGGTCGTTGAGAACTCTAAGGCGCTATAATCGATAGGGTCTAAGAGGTCGTAGGTTCAATTCCTACACTAGTTATTTCCTTTTTGTTCGGTTTTAAAATTTTTTGATTATCTACTAATAGTTCTGTAGGTTTTCTTTTAGTTCCTAGGTGTTTTCTAAATGTAGGTATCCTTTCCATTTGATAAGGTATTTCTAACCTTACTAATCTAGGATTTTCTCGACTTTAAACTCGTTTTCTTCCTTAGGTTAGAAGTGAAATGTTTCTTAATACGGTGTTTCGGCGTCTATAGGTTCCAGTATAGAGATATAGAATACTAGGTAGATTTTCGCGTCGTCCGGTAGTTTGAGTCGGTAATTAACTAGTCCTTTAGGCTTATTAATCAAAAATGGCCCGACTTTAACGTAATCTAGTTTCTTAGTCGATCTCCGGGTTTTTAGATTCTTTGTTAGGAGGTAGACCTTATCCCCCTTCTTTAGCTAAGGTGCTATTTTTCGTTTAGCATTATATAGCCCCGTAATCTTTTCTTGAGACTCGGCAATTGCCCTTTGCAATTCCTTATATACCTACTTTAAGTCTTCTAAAGCGACTATCGCTTTATCCGCGTATAGATGCTATAAATACTATTCCCCGAACAGCTGCGGATGTTTCCTAAAATTAGCGAAGAATAGTGTCTCTTTCGTAGTCTTAGATTGTTGGTTGTTTAGTACAAGTTGTGCTATAGGCAATAGCGATGCCTAATTGTTTTGTACGTAATTGACGTAGTACCGTAAGTATACCTCTAAGGCCTGATTCTTAACTTCCGTTTAGCCGTCTGTCTATAGATGGTATGCCGTTAATAGCTTATACTTAATTCCAAGCGTCGCTGTAAGCGTCTTCTAGTAGTTTGACGTAAAGAGCTTATCTCTGTCCGTAATATAGGTCTTTAGAAATCCGTAGTATCGTACAAGTCTATCTAGTACGAGGTATCCGAGTTGCTCTACCGTACTTGCTTCGTTAGTAGGAATGAAGTGTGCGTATTTCGTAAGCCTATCGACTATAACAAGTATTATATCGTAGCTATATCCTGTAACCGGATCCTTAGACTTCGGTAGCTTCGTAATAAAGTCTATTGTAACTTCGTCCTATAGCTTATCTAGTAGCGTCCTAAATTGGATATGTCTATATCTAGCGTGTCTATTAGCCTTATTACGCTAGCATTGTGGACATTTCTTAATATATTCTAGGACTCGTTATCGCATATATGGGAATCCGAAGCTTCGCTTGACTAGTTCTATTGTTTTTGAAACTCTAGGGTGTCTATTTTCTAGTCCGTCGTAGTGTTGTCGTATACACTCCGTAACTCGTTCCTTAGGTACTTAGTATTTCCTATATTCGATTGGGAACTGTTCTTCTATATCCTAAAGAACTCGTATAATGTAGTTGAATTCTTTTATATTAGCACTAAGGCTTCCGTCTTAGTTTGCTTTTAATATCTGCTACTGTACTAGTTCGTGACCCTCTATATAGTCGCTACGGCGGCTTAGTGCGTCGGCTCGTCCGTTCTCGCGTCCTAGGGTATAGCGGATTTCGAACTTATACTGCCCTAGTAGTTCCGACTAGCGGGCCTGTCTTCGGGTTAGTACTTTAGTCGTAGTAAAGTAAGTCAGATTCTTATAATTAGAAAGAATCGTAAGACTTAGTGCTCCTTCCGCGTATACTCGCTAGTATTGTAGTAATACAACTATTATAAGTAGCTCCTTATTATAGATGTCGTAGTTCTGTTCCGCGGGTAACATCTTTCTCGAGTAATAGGCTACCGGGTGTCGTTTCCCGTTATACTCCTATATAAGGTATGCTCCTATAGCCCTATCCGACGCGTCTATTTCTATCTAGACCGCCTTACTCCTATCGAATAATCGTAGCGTTAGCGCAGAAACGCATTGCTTCTTTAGCTGCCTAAACGCTTCGTCTTCCTTCGTGCTCTAGTTCCATTTCTTGTCTTTCTTTATAAGCTCCGTAAGGGGTGCCGCTGTCTTAGAATAGCCCTCGATGAATTTCCTATTATAGTTAGCTAATCCTAGGAATGATTGTACGTCTTTAACGTATATAGGCGTTGGCTATTCCTGTATTGACTTGGTTTTTTCTAGATCGATCCTAATTCCTATAGTGCTAATAATAAATCCTAGGAATTTAACTTCCTTCTTATAGAATTCGCATTTCTTAGGTGCAGTCTTAAATCCTACTTGAGTAAATCGTTCAAAGACGTCCTACACTATTCGTATATAGTCCGCGAGAGCTCCTTTAGTATAGACTAAGATATCGTCTATATATACGATAACGTATACATCTAGAAGGTCTCGGAGGACTTCGTTTACAAGGTCTTAATATAACGCTAGGGCATTTGTAAGTCCTATAGGCATAACTAAGAATTCGTAAAGCCTATATCTTGTTCGGAATGCTGTCATCCACTCGTATCTAGCTACTATACGTATTGCGTAAAACGCATCGCGTAGGTTAATCTTCGTATACTAGTCTAATCTAGTTAATCGGTCTTGCATTTCTTCGATGTTCGGTAGTAGGTACCGATTCTTAATTGTGATGTCGTTAAGTCGTCTAAAATCGACTACTAGCCGTCCTTCGTCTAATCCGGCTTTCGGAACGAATATTACTAGTAAGGCTGCCGAGGATGTCGACTTCCGTATCTAGCCTTTTTCTAATTTCTCTTTCAGCTACTTGTCTAGGGTTTTGAGCTCTTTCTTAGACATTGCGTATAAGGGTCCCTATAGAGGCTCTTTCCTAGGCTGTAAGTGTATTTTATGATCCTA